TATGATCAAGATTCCCAGGTGAATCGGAAAAGCTGGCCCTTGCAAATTATAGTCAGGCTAAGAATCTCAAGAACCAGATCTTCAGAAGACATAAGCAATTAGACAAGCATACAGCAAAGATCTCAACAAAAGGATAGATAATGATTTTGTCTAAGCTCTTTAAAGCTCCTTTAGTTAAATAACCTTTGGCTGTTTTTAAACCAACTTTAGTCTTCAATGTCAAGCATAAAAATGATTCCAATGAAGAAATATTGACTCATGGTACTATGAAGATTCGACGAGAATCCCGTTCAAACGTGCTCATAAACATGATGTACAGATTTTACCTCCCAGATTATACTAAATAATTGGACCATAAATTTACCTGTTCCTTCGAATATGTCGAAGACACAGATTTAAGAAAAAGAGCTCTTTTGTCACAAGTAGTATGCTTGGAAGGCGAGGAAGCAAATTCTATAAGTGAGTGAGGACGAAGTGGCTTGGAATAAGATAATGAAGAATCCGTGGTATGTTCATCAGGCCCTGAAGAGACAAAATCAACGGGGCCAGACTTTGGTGAGGCAATAGCAAGAGGATCCTCTGTAGAGATGTTGCTAGTATCATATAGACAGACATCAAATTCATTTGCCTGTGAACAAGCATTGGTATGCCGATTAAAAATAAGTGAGGTACTTCCAGATGACAGTTCAGAATCCATGGTTCGAAGCAGAGTTGATAATTCTGAAGTAGATATGCTGAATGAAAACAAGGATGGGTGTGCGGAAACTTGTGGTGTGCATCCGGGAGCCATGACCACAGCCGAATCGCTAGTTTGCTAAAATCATAAATATAAAGGTAGGGTATAAAAACAAAAGGATCCTTAATCTTAAGGATACGAGAAAAAACGATTTGAATAAGGGTTTGATTCATTATGTAATCATCGAAAGAGTTAATAAGAAAAATATCCACAAAAAATTCACAATTGTAGATACTTATTTTCATATAAGTATAAATCATAGGTTTATCTAAGTAAAAATATAAAGCTACCATTGCTATATTTAGAAGGCAACTGGTGTCGAGAATGAAAAAAAAACAGCCAAAAATACTCAAATAAGCAGTGAGAAGACCCGTTGGAAGATGTTCAGATAATGTGAATAAAATGCTCCAATATACCAGTTGCTGGCTAGGAGAACAATTTAACATTTGGCATACCAGCCACCTTTTCATCCAATCAAATTTGACTTGAAATATTCTCAATTAGATATGAATTAACCTGATGGCGTGTATATCATATCTCGATGCAGATCAAAGCTTGGTGATTGGAAAGTTTTAATAGCCTAGAGCCTGGGTTAAGGCCTGATAGAAAAAATATAAAAATATCTAGGGTTGTGAGCTACCTGAATTATTGCGTTTTAGCAAGTTTATAAATACCTTCGTGATAAAATAATTCAAAAAGTATTAATCAATAGTAGCGAATAATTCACAAGCTCAATTCAAGGTAAAAACCAATTACTGTGATGCGGAAGTGTAAAATTTTTTAAAAAGCTCTCTATATAAGAAATTATTTCGGGGAGTCAAAACGTATTTGACATAAAATCACTTCCTTGGGATATCCCTAGCTTAGTCTACGGTCTCTGAAACATCAAACAACTTATGTTGCACCTTTGCCCAAAAAATAAGGATCATTAGTTGTTTCTAAAGGAATATACGGTCATTAAAATTATTTTCTTTCGTATGTGTAATTGTCTGTATAAATGAAATAGAAACAGAGCTTGTAAACGGATAATCTGAGCTAAAAGAAGACGAGAGAGTGCAATTGAATGATCCCTGAAAAGCAGAGGTAACGTTCATAAGGTAACAACTTGGTGAATATATAGTAAAATCAAGATCAAGAAAAATAACAAGCCGGGTTACTAAAGCACATCTACAGCAGTTAAAAGAAAAAGAATGCTTGAGCTACGTATCTCAGTATGTATTCTGAGGTGAAACAAGAGAATACTAGGACTAAATATAAAATCATCATAGGACGACCGTGAGCATGAAGACCAAGGTGCCAGAAAATAATTCTTCCTTCTTTGTACTATATGGCGGTCTCATTTTGCCTTATCAAAGAAACCAAATCAGATTTTAGCCACCATAGTCATCTATTCTAGCTGGAATTAAACATAAATCTTAGTCTCCATAAGAAGCCGGCATAAGTGAGAAAAAAGATTATTGAAAAGTGGCTGGCGATTTGCACAAGATGTTTAGTATTCCAAGGTGATGAAGACGTATAGTAAAAATGAACTCAGTTCATGCTTAATAAGATTTTTAGTAACCCTAGGTCGCATAAGGTGATGCCAGTGAGAATTCAATTTCCGACATTGATGTTAATAGGCTTCACCTTTCCAACGAATTTCACTTAGCCTTGCATCTCAAAATAGATTATCATTCGATGGCATGAAGCCAATTATCGTGTAAAAATTTAACTACCGGTTCAACACCGTCTTAAGCGACGTATGGCGACAGGAACTTTTATTCAAGATTTGTTGACAATCTCGAAAATTATTTTCCAGAAATATAAAGTTCTTTCTAGGCATCCGCAACAAAAAAATATAGCAATTTATTTTAAAGACCGTTTTAGTACTCGCTTCAACTATCCAAAAAGTTGCAGAGAATGAGCATAAAAAATGTCAGGACCCTAGGACCTGTCTAGGATAAACTATCTTGGATTGTTATGATATAAAATGTACCAATTTTTAATACGGTACGACAATGACTGAAACCAGTAACTAATACAATTCAGTTAATGTATATATTAAAAGTAGCTGGAATATTAGTAATAGATGAAAAGCAAAGAACATACTCAACTTAATGAGGATTAGATGTAACGAAGGCTAGATGCGCCTCAATATTGACGCCAAAATATTTGTAAAATAAATAAAAAATGCCTTGAGAAGTCTCAAATGCTTAGGCAAGAGCAAATTTTTAAGAGACTAAATCATAAAATAACTCGGGCTTACTTAGGTTAAGTTATTTAAAGGATCAAGGAATGTAAGGCAAACAGCAAGCCATTGAAAACAGACAAGAAAGTCTTCCCAAGACATGGATACAAATGCATATTATAACTTAAGCGGAAAAACGAGATTGAAGCTGCTTGTCTGCTACAAAGATGCTAGTTAGATAAAGGACACTTTGATGTAAATACATATGATGACGTGTGGATCGTAAAGCTCGGTACAATTATCGTTAGGCGAATTTAAGATATGCCAGACTTCAGTCGATTTAGATATAAGAGAATGAATGTCTCCCTGCTTTACAAGGAATCAATGATAATAATTTAAAATATAGGAACAAGATACCAGTACATAAGAGAGCTTAGATAACAGCATAAAAAAGCCCAATGCAATGGCATACTGGCCCGGAAATTAATTAGC